CCTGGACTGGTGGATGAGGTGTATCAGCAGCTCCGTGGCGGTGCCTGGTACTGCCACACGTCCCGGCAGAACAGGGGGTGAGAGGCCACCAACCAAGAGGGGAGAAGGAGAAGAAGCAGCAGCTCTGTCTGGGTGATGGCGAAATTCCCTTCTCCCCACCGCAGCAGCTCCGCTACCCAGCAAACGAATGTCTTTTCCCGAAGCCAAAGAAAACCAGCCAAAAACTGTCCCCACCCTCCTTTCCTGCCCCTTCCCCCCCACCCTGAGCCCGGACACTCTTTGTCCTTTGTCAAGCACCCACTAAATATCCACAGTTAGGTTGTCTCCATAGCTAATGGGTAAAATTTCCACGGGCAGGCCAGAACAACAAAATAATAAAAAAAAAAGGACACCTAACCCTCAACACTATCCACCCCGAATTTTTTCCCATACCAAAATGTTACATCAAATATTAAACCTTTAAATTATACATGAACACATACTACTTTAACTATATACATATGTACATACAGATACAAGCACAGTGTCATGGGTAGTTCACCCTAAAACCAGGTCCCCTTGGGGTATGCACCGGGTCTCTCCATCTTTTTGCATCACCCACCAAGTGCAACCCGGTCCCTGAGCAAAGACAACCCCACGGATTGGACTGTCTTTGCTGGAGGCAGAATTAACCCAAACAGTTTTTCCCAGCATACCTCTCATAAGTACCACTGGAACCTTATCTCCATCTGTCGTTCTAAAGGGCTCAGATTGGGCAGGGTCTGCTCGGTTAGTGGAACCTCGGGTGTTCACCAACCATGTGGCCTTTGCTAAATTAATCTCCCAGTTCTTGAAAGTTCCCCCACCCAGTGCCTTCAAGCTGCACAATCATTTTACAGGAGGACAAAGTCCACAGGCCAGCTGAAGAAGCTCCAGCAGCCTGGGACCCCTGGCCCGTCAAGGCCACTGGCTTCTCCCCCACGGCAGCACCACCCGAGCCAGTGGTAAACAGCTCAGGACCTTGGTCTGCCCGGGCCGCCAGAGGGGACGGGAGGGGGCTGCCTCCAGCTGCAGACTCAGGCGATGCTGAAGAACACGAGGCGGGGGGACATGAAGCTGGCGCAGCGTGGTCCGCCTCCCGCGAGGCAGGGGGGAAACGCGGCGCCAGTCGGGGCGCAGCCCGCAGAGACCCAGCACCATCCTGCTCTGCTGCCAGGGAACAACCCGGGCTCGCAGGACGGGAATCCGGCAGCATGGGGCCGGCAGAACCCGGCCTGGCGTCCGCAGCACCCGTCTCCACACCCCACGAATCCGGCACGGGGCCCGGGCCCTGCCCATCCCCCACCACTGGGCAGGGCACGGCCCAGCCGCAGCAGGGACATGGGACAGACCCTGAGGCATCCCCCAGGGCCGGCGCGGCCCCCCGTTCAAGCAGCCCCCCATCAGTCTGTGTCGGGAGGGCACACGGAGGAGGCGAGCCCGCCCCGGGCTTCCACCGCCAGGGCGCCGGCCGAGGTGGCGTTAAACCCCCTGGGTCTGCGGTGCCCCTGACAGCCTGCCGGCAGGGATCCAACCCCGCCCCGGGCCTACACCTCCTGGGCGCCGGCCGAGGCGGCATTACACCCCCCGGGTCCGTGGCGCCCCCGTTCAACCCACCGGGGGCCCCGGCGATCCCGGGGGAGCTGACCTCGGGACCCGACATCAGAACACCGCCACACCTTTGCCAGATCCCGAGCAGCCGGAGCAGCTGTGGCTCATAACCGACCAGCAGAGACTCGATCAGGGAATCGCCTAAAGCGTCCCAAGCCGACTGCGAAAAAATCGCTTCAACCACAGGGAAAAACCCCTCAATTCTGCCATACTCACACAATTGCTGAAAGTCAGCATACGAAACATCAATCCCTCTCTGATCAGACACCGCATGCCATATCTCCAGAACCAGGCCCTCCGTAAGAGAAAGCCCAAAACCATCCATAGCCACAGGCTAGACAGTACCCTGTAACACACGTGCAAGACACGGTGGGGTTCACCAGATGTTACCGCTGAAGATCAATAGATCACGCGAACACAGGTCAAGGTGTGGTGCAAGAAAGAGCCGAGTTTATTTTTCCTCCCAGGATTTATAGGCTTGTGACCATGGCCAGGGATTGGATGGTCAGGATAACACTTTCTCACTGCACTGGCCATGAGAGATGCCCATCACAAGACGTGTAACACAAAGAATGTACACATATCTATGCTTACAGTTACTGTCCTAGGAAAGTCCTTAGAAAACTATGTTAGCAAGCTCAGAAGCTGAGTTTTCAGGGCGACAAATGAGAAACAAGTAGTGGGAGGGAAAACCTGTGAAAGATCCTCAAAAGTGAGTAGGAATGAGAAAAGTGTGACATAAACAAAGAAATGAGATAGAAAAACTCAAACTGGTGTTTGGATGTTTGACTTTCTCCGTGGTGGAAGTGATGCCTATTCCTCACATAGGCCAGAAGGTGGTGGTATTCTCAAACAAATTGGATTTCCAATAGCCAGATGGTTTGTAAATATAGTAAGGTCACTTAAAAAAACCTATTTCTACTGACTGTCCCAGAGTAAAAATAACCTGCTAAGAATATGGCCATATTCCATCTCATTCTTTACTGGTATTAACTTTGATACTGATTTTTGAAAAAGCACTGTGGTATTAGAAAACACTTCCTTCTCCCTTTGTTCTTACTATGATTCCTTTCATTTAATGCTGCTGAATTTGTTTAGTGAATAGTTTATTTTTGAAAAGGAATGTAGCTGTTAATGTCCTTTTGTCCATAGCCCATTGAGTGTAGAACTGCAGGTCATGAATAATGATAGTAACAAACACCTCTCAGAATGGGCTGCTTTATGTGTTCTGCTTCTCACATCATGCCAAACAAGTGCTATTGCTTGCCTAATTTACTACTTTTTCAGGTCCTACATTAAGAAGTTTTTTGTTTCTCTCTCTCTTTTTTTTTTTTTTTTTTTTTTTTTACTAGATGTCTCACTGTATTTATAAATGACACAGGTTTCCTGTGTCTAAATACCTGAGAAAACCAATGTCAGTCACAGCTGTGGACTTCTACCTTTTTCCGGTATGATCACTCTGGCTGTTCCTTTCCGAACAATACTGCCTCACCTCTAAACAACAGGATCAATAGCTCTTGAGAACCGAACTGATGCATACTCTGTAGGAGAAACTCCTCCTGAAATGACCTTAAATTTTTTGTACTGGATTCTGTGAAAGTATAAGGCATTAAATGTTTAATCAGATTTAAACATTTGTGCTGAACATGATTTTTAAGTGACTACTGCTCAAATCCTCCTGGTTTTTTTCACCCTTTCTACCAAATTATTTAGTGCTTGTTCTGCTATTATTACTGAGAGGAATGACAGGTTTGTCTTTACAAACAAGCTGTGGGTGTGCTGATAAGATGAAACTATGACTGAGAGATAACAGAAACAACGGGATGGATTCCATTGAAGGATGAAAGAGGCACTGAGGAAGCACCACGAATTCCACAAGAGTTAAGAATTAAGAAGGGATTATGCTTTGGGGGGTGGGGGGGGTGGGTATCCCAGGTATCAGGCCTTCTGGGAAGTCTGTAACTTTCAAGTACCTCAGCCAATGAGGAAAGAGAGAAGGGACAAGCAGCTGGAAAATTAGCGTAAAAAGGAGGCTGTGCCCTCCAAAAATCTGAGAGACCCAAGGGGAATGCCCCATGGCCTCTCCCTTTATTTGAATAAAGTAAAAGAACTCCTCAGTCTCCTTTTTGGACATAAACCTCTGGTGTTTGTGGATTAATTTTCCTGACATTACTTAGTCTATTTTTCCATTTTTTTCAGATTGGATACAGAACCGATAATGCTATTTCTTTTTAAATCAGCCGGACACCATTCCTATAGAGGAATTCAGTGAAATAAATGTCTGAATTCAGCTAAACCCAGATTTTGTCTCTTCAAATGCT